ATATGTTCTCTGAACTTGCCCTGAACTCTGTATGTACTTGTGAGAAAGCGTGTCACAGATTTGTGGAGGAATGGTTTGTACTAACTGTACCATCTAGTAAATAGTCCTTTATAAAAGCTAATCAAGTTTCATTGACTAGTTGATGTCAACTACTAAATACACAAGTGGGGACTTGTGAACTATATGCCCCTAGATCCTAAAGAGAGACAGAGCAGCCAAGCTCTGGGGACCTAACTCATCAATGTGAGTGTGAGTGTGGATAAGAACTCCCAGAGTCTAGATGTGCTGCATCTTATATGCATATAATTATTTACATGTTATTTCCTTCATTAGAATAATAACTCCTTGAGGGCAGGATATTTTTGCCTTTCTTTGTATCTCTTAGTGCTTAGCACAATATCTGGTATATAGCAAGTGCTTAATAATTGCTTATTGACTGACTGGAGGTATGACTTCAGGGTTGTTTTAATTTTTATTTCATTTCTCTCATAAGTGATTTGCAAACATTTTCTAAGTCATTTGTTGACAATTTGTATTTTTTCTTTTGAAAACAAATTTGTATTCTTTAACCACTTGTCTCTCAAAAAACAGCTCTTAGGGAACATCTCTTATAAACATCTGACATCCAAAATTTCTATGGAATTGCCACACACAAAAGACTGAGCATCATTTCCCAGTACATAAATGGTCAGAGAATATGTGCAAATTACAGAAGTAGAAATGGAAACTATCAACACCCAAATGAAAATATTCTGAATCACTAATAAAATAAATGCACTGAGCTAACACTTCATACTCATCAAATTAAGCAAGTTTTTTTTTTTTTAAACTGGAAGAATTGATTTTATCAGTGGGGAACTCTCAGTGAGGAACTCCCATCTACCAATGCAGGTCTGCTACTTAGAGCCTCAGAGAGTTTAGTTTGCCTGGGACACTGAGGGATTAAGCAACTTACTTGGAGTCACATGGCCAGTATGTGACAGAAGCAGGACTTGAATGCAGGTCTTCCAGACTCTGGGGCCAGCTCTCTATCCTTTCTGCCATGCTGCTCCAGCCAGGATGATAAAAGATGTCTGATTGGAAAGGTGATAGGACAGACATAGGAAGAAGCAGAACTGAGAAAATCACGCACAATGGTCGGTGGGGTAGAGGAAGACAACTCTGGAGAGAATTTAAATCAAATGCAGAGGCCAGCGTTGGCTCAGGTGAGTCCTGCCCTTGCTCTGAAGAAAGAGGTAGCACCACATCCCAGTTGCTACATAAGAGCTCGGTGCTTAACTGGTCACTTCTTTGTTTTGAGGGGACCGACCACATAGCAAAATCTGTTTACAGGGAAGCGACTATCAGTTTTAAAAAAATCAAGGGATGAGATTCAGAGAAAGGCAAAAACAGCCCCAGCTCTCAAGGAGCTTGCCTTATTGCTGGAAGTCCTTTCCCATTCATGGGGTACTCACAAAGTTCCCCTTTTAGGCATGGTGTAGTTTCTTTGGGTTCCTTGTAGAGCTTTGAAATAATTTTTTTTTCCTCACTAAGGCAAGACATTGTCAGCTGCTGTTGCAGGGATGCTGTTGGGACTAGGATGGTGATAGGAGCAATCCAAATCCTTTGGTCCTTTGTAAAGTTCAAGATTCTTTCTCAGGATGTTTAACCAGAATACTTCCCTTCTTCTTTTCTGATATGCAATTCTGATTCTGATTAGCCTGATGGTTTTACATAAACTGTATGGGGTATGATGGAATCTCTTGTCCAATCAGATCATACTTTCTGTAACTTTAGGGAGATGACTAGGCCTTGTTCAGATTTAATTGAAAATCCAAATTTCTTTTCACCTGATATCTGTATCAGGTTAAAGAGCCGTGGATGATTTTAATCTTTTTTATATACAGAGTAGAAGGGGGAAGGAACAAACAGTTTGGGGGGAAGAATGGGAAAGATCTTATACTCATCAAATTAACTAAGATGGTAAAATTTGTTGTTGGAGAGGCTCTGTGAAGAATTTCACTGCTGGTGAAACTGTGAAGTGTTTCAGCATTCAGTAAATCAGTTAGGCAGCATGCATTTATTACTACTTGCCAGGCTCTTTAAAAGATTGAGCATCATTTCCCAGTACATAAGTGGTCAAAGCACTAGGTAAGCACTAGGGATACAAAGAAAGACAAAAAAATGGTCCCTGCCCCCTAGGAACTCACATTCTAATGGAGACAACATGAGTGACAGTGTACAAATGTAGCATGTGAGATCTGGCGCCTTCTTCTGGAGCCAGGATGCTGCATCTTCCCTTCAGGACTCCAGGAATGTCTATTCTGTACTGCTGTTGCCTTGAGCCCCCACCAGCTTGTGTCCTTCCCCCATACTCACTGCCATTGTTGGGGCCAGTTACTGGCATCCCAGGTAGGTTTTTACAAAGGGATGCTGCCTTTATAACTATAACATGAACAAAGTCCGGATGTTCTCTATACCAGTGAAATTAGAGATCCAGTCTCTGTCCCCTGTAGTTTACCTATCATCTGTGTCTTCTGCTGCTTGACTTTAGGCTCCCAAACAAGAATTCTGACTTAACTGAGTTTTTTATCTTATATCCTTGGATCTAGCCACTGGAAATGCTTTGATTTGCTTAATCCATTTGTGAAAGATGGGGTGATTTCATCAGTGCAGAAGACTCCCTCAACTGGTTAAGGTCACCAGGCTTCTGTAATACTCTGAATTGCTTTAATCTCCCATAGATAAAATGACATATTTGTATAGAGTCACATAGCTGTTAGGTGTGTCCAAGGCAGGCTGTTGTGACTTGAAGGCCAGTACTCTACACCATTGACTCATGCTGCCTCCCTAATAATATTTATTGGATTAATAAAAACAAGTAAATTTTATAATATTTTAGTGCTTTATTATCTTTCTTTGATCCTCATAATAGCCCTTTGAGGTAGGTATTATAGGTATTATTGCCATTTTGCAAATGAGGAAAAAACCCCAGAAAGCTGCAGTGATTGGCTGGTGGTCATGTAGCTAGTTCAAGGCCATTTAAATTCAGGTCTTTTTTGACTCCAAATCCATTGGTTTTCCTTTTCACAGGCTGTATCTTTAAGTCTCCTGTCTTAAGGGAAGTGGAGGAATGTCATTCTGGGCCTCAGTTACCTAATTTAGAGGACTTTATTGTGGGGCCAAACTCCCTGAGGATGTTAATAATCTACCTGAAGTAATTTCTCAGTGGTTAACAAACTCTGATCGCCCCACCCCCCACACACACATTGCTTGCCACCTTATTCCCATAGTCCTTGATCCAACCCATCCATGTCCACTCTAAAGTTACCTATGCCTTCTGTTGTGCTCACTGGAATGCCTGCTCTATAGGTTTAAAAAAAAAAAAAGCTTTTATCTTAAATCTCTTTCTTTCCCACTCTTTCCAACTTTTGGCTCTTACTGAGATCTGGTTGTCTCCTGAATATGAAAGGGATCTTAGAGACCTGCCTGCCCCCTCATTTTATAAGAGAGGAGACAGGTTTAGAGGTTAACGTGATTTGCCCAAGGTCTCATGGGTTATAAGAGAAGAAAAATTGAATTCACTTTCTTTGACTCCAGATCAGGCATTTTTTACATTTAATTTTAAAGGAGAGGAAAAAATCAGAATAATGGAGAAAATCAGACAATTTTATAGTTCACAAAGCCAGGTAATTAGGAAAACATCAATAATTACTAACTTATAGGCCTACTTTCTTATCTCTTTGAGAATTATTAGTGGTATCCTTGATGAAAATGAGGTAACAGGCAGGTTTTTGTAAGCAATTTTCTATAATGGATCACATTTTTTTCTTCAGAATTAATTGAAGGGTGAAGGGGAATATAAGAACCATTTGTGCTTATTGTCTGTTTGTTATAACAAGCATTAGAAGAAAATGCAGATCTGAAGATTCTCCTCCAATAAGAAGTCTTAAATGTGCATATGTTAAGATCATACAAAGTTTCTTGATCACTGCAAATAGAGATATTTTCAAACAGAAATTATTGTCAATTGAGGCAAATGAGGGAAGTGTGTGCTTGCCAAAAGTGCTCAGTACTGTCATGGAGAATATTCTGTTCAAAGTCCAAGTAGAAGAAGGATTCCTTACAGATGGTGAGGTCCTCTAGATGCTCTCATTTGCTAATAACATTCTTCTGATTCCATCAAGCCCCTGAATATGAATGAGATCCAGGTTTACCTAAAAGAGGAGAGCTTAATAATCCACAAAGAAAAAAATCAGTTAGGTGAAGAATAGAGTAGCGATTGTTATTGTCCACAATCTAGCTTGGAGAATGTCAAGTCCATTGAAATAATACATCATCATACATATATTGGACAGGTACTACTGATGGACAGTGAAGTGGACCTCAATTTGAATGGGAAGAAGAGAACAGGCTAGCTTGCATTTGGGAAATTGTATAGTTTGTTCAGCAATCTTAAAGGACTCCCTGATACAAAAGCACATTTATTTATTTATTTATTTTTTTGGTGAGGCAGTTGGGGTTAAGTGACTTTCCCAAGGTCACACAGCTAGTACGTTTCATGTGTTTAGTCTGAGGCCGGATTTGAACTCAGGTCCTCCTGACTTCAGGGCCGGTGCTTTATCCACTGCGCCACCTAGCTGCCCCCAAAAGCACATTTTTAAATGAATGTCTTCTCAGCGATGCTTTATGGCTGTAAATCTTGGAAGAATACAGTTTTTAAAAGCTCAGAGTTACAGATGATCCAAAAGGCCGTGTAGAGATGCATGGTGGACTAGGTATGCAAATAGACTGTAGCATATTTTTAACTATAATCTGTCTGCTAGAAGTGGTGTAAAGGAAATTAACCAGGAAACGTGCAATTGGAATTAAACTAAACAATGAGTATTTTTGAACTTGTATAGTGATTTCTTTACAATAATTCACTAAATATTTCTTTTAAAAAATTTAAATGACTTTTTACATACATGTGCATTTGGAGTGGTTAGGATTTAATTTTTTTTCTTTATTTTTGGTTTTAGGTAGTCTGGGAGACCGTGCTTGTCTTAGTTGTACATCTCTGAGTTTCCTAAACCATACGTAAGTAAAAGTTAAACATGACATCAAAATTTTTCATAATTCTTTGTAAGTTCCTGACAATTTAAGAACAGTGTGTGAGAGAGATTTCATTTTTTTCCTTTGTTATGAGAAAGATTTGGGGAAACTATTTAACGCTTTAAAAAAAACCGAATAGCAACAAATCTTTCTTTTCTTGTTTACCCTTTATTTTTTTCTTAATGTCTGGAGATATTACATATTTTCTTGTACTACTGAGAATACTATCAAATATTTATTTGGGCTTTCTCATTGTCTAATATGTACTTCCTGTTTTGTTGGCTGTGTGTATAAATCAGTCATCGTGGTTAGTGTATTTGTGATCAAATGAACAAAGCCAGAATTGTGGCCATTTCTGATGGATAATCTGCTAGGAAGATGATAATATTGGCTTGATGACAAAACAACTTCTTTACTCATAAGAGAGATAGTGTCTTTTAAAAAATGATTATTTTTAACATTCTTTTCTTTTTAAATTTTGAGTTCTAGATTCTCTTCCTTCTACCCCTTACCCACCCACTGAGAAAGCGAAGAATATAATGTCAACTATATATGTGAAATCATGTAAAACATGATTTTCTTCACTGATTTTTTTGTATCTCTTTTTCCATTTGGCCAATTCTGCTTTTTAAGAAGTTCTTCAGGGGCAGCTAGGTGGCTCATTGGATAGAGCACCGTCCCTGGATTCAGGAGGACCTGAGTTCAAGTCCGGCCTCAGACACATAATACTTTCTAGCTGTGTGACCCTGGGCAAGTCCCTTAATCCCATTGCCTAACCAGAAAAAAAAAAGTTCTTCAGTGAATTTTTGTACCTCTTTTACCATTAGGCTAATTCTACTTTTTAAGGTGTTACTTTCTTCAGTATATTTTTGTACCTTTTTTATGAAGCTGTTAATCTCTTTTCAAAATTTCTTGCATTACTCACATTTTTTTTTTCAACACTCATGTAAAGACAATTTTTAACATTCATTTAAAAAAATTTTGAGTTCCAATTTTTCTTGCTCTTTCCCTCACATTCCCCCTCTGAGATGGTAAGCAATTTGATATAGGTTATACATATGCTATCCTGCAAAACATTTTTCCATATTAGTCATGTTTTCAAAGAAGATGGAGGCTAAAAGAAAAATAAAAACATGAAAAAATTAAGTGAAAAATGGTATGCTTTGATCTGCATTCAGACTCTATCAGTTCTTTCTCTGGATATGGATAGCATTTTTCATCATGACTCTCATTTCTTTTCCCAATTTTTCCTCTGCCACTCATCTCTTTAATTTTCCCAGGAATTTTTTTTTTTTTTTTTTTAATTAGGCAATCGGGGTTAAGTGACTTGCCCAGGGTCACACAGCTAGTAAGTATCAAGTGTTTTGGTCTGAGGCTGGATTTGAACTCATATCCTCCTAACTTCAGGGCCAGTGCTCTATCCACTTCGCCACCTAGCTGGCCCCCAGAATTCTTATTGAACGTGGCTCTAGTTAGCATTTTTCTTTGAGGCTTTGCTTGTAGCTGTTTTCATATTGCTATCTTCTTCTAGGTTTATGTCTTTTATCTTCCCTGCCATTGTAGTAGCTTTTTATGGTCAAGCTCTTTTTTTTGTTTGCTTGTTTTCCCAGCCTATTTCTTCACTATGGACTTGTATGTTAAATTTGATCTCTGCTCATCTGGGGATATGGAAGAACTGTGCCAAGCTTCAGGCTTTTTTATGTTGCTGTTTTCAGAGCTAGTTCTGGGGGTCTGCAAGTCTTTGGTGCTTCCAAGGTCGTGTGATTCTGGGAGAGGTGTGGTTACTGCTCTCCTGGTCTGTGCTCTGGTTTTTACCCAGGAAGGGCCCCTACTCTCCCTCAGCTGCAAGTGGTAGCTGTCCTTATGGCCCTAAAACTGTGACCAGGGCCTCTGCTCCCTTGTGATGCCTCTCCATCCTGAAACTGCAACCCAGCACTGAGTATGGGCAGTAGAGTTGCCAGTCAGCACAGCTGCACCCAGTTCCAGTAAAGGGTCCCCATATCATATTCTGATGAGTTGTCTGAACCCCTAATGTCTTCTGGGCTGAGAACTCCTGAAACTGCTGTTGCAGCCGCCTCTATAGCTCACCACTGGTGCTCCTGCTGTGCTCTGGGCCTGCATTCACTCTCTGTTGTGAACCTCTTAAGTTGTCTCAGGCTGGAAGAATGTTGCCCTTTGACCTTTTGTTGGCTCTGCCATTTGAAAATTTCATTTGAGGTGTTGTTAAAAACAACATTAAAATTAAAGTTGTTTGGAAGAGAATATTGGGAGAATTCAGCTGGGTCCTGGCTTGTACTCTGCCATCTTGGCTCTGCCCCCATAGAGATTATTTCTGGAAAAGATTATTTGTGATTATGTCTAAAATGATGGAAGTTTAGATTTCTGCATCTAATGGCATCTTTTCCCAGAAAGATGTGATGGCTGAGTTATGGGAGACAAAAGAAAGGGAGGTACTGGAACAGTCTAAGGTTTTTAGGATGGTAAATTAGTGAGAGAAATAGGCAAGAGGGAAAAGTTGTAAAATGCTGAGTTAAATTGTAGGCATGTTGAATTGGAGGTGATGGTAGGACGTCTAAGTGGAGATGTCCTATAAGCAGTTGGATTAGAGCAGGAGCTTGGATCTGCTAGGATTGGAAATTGATAAAGTAACGTGTTTTAAAGAAGTAAACAGAATTTACACATCTAAATGAGTGTTGATCCTTTAAAATTATTACCGTGTGAAGTTATATACTTAAGCAGGGCTGCCATTCTTTAAAACATTTTTAAAAGTCTTTTTTTGAAAATATCTTAAGTCACATTCTTTTTTTTCTGTACAGTCTTTTAAAAAATTTTCCACTTAATAGAATTTTATTTTTCCCAATTATATGTAAAGATAGTTTTCAGTATTCACTTTTAAAAGATTTTAAGTACCAAATTTTTTCTACTTCCTTCCCCACCCCCCACAAGCACTCTGATATAGACTTTACTAGTCACATTCTTTTTGAATACATTCAGTGATCACAAATATATTTGCTCTTTTAAGGTAGACTTAAATTTTGGTTGGAGCCTAATCTGGTGAAGAAAGTTGGTGATTAAGCTGAGTGATAACCTTTTAATTTAAAAGTGAGATCTTGTTATATAATGAGATTTATTTTATTGTATGACTAATAAACTGGTTGTAAAGGCAGTTCCGAAAGAGAATATCATCATTTTTTGAGAAACTGTTGAAGTGTGCATGAATAAATGAAAATGCATTTATTAAAGACATACTATGTGCAGAGCTCTAGGGATACAAATGAAAAAGCAAGGCCATTCTTGCTTTCAGCGAGCTCACATTTTATTTTGGGAAACAACAAAAGCACAAGTGAGTGTATTGGTTGACATTTGGCTGTCTAAAAAAATTCCAGTCATTCGATTTGTGCTTTTTCCCCCCACCTTTCTCAACGTTTTTGCAGCATTAGCTACTGTATACTTGTGGTAGTTCCAGTTTTGAAAAACAAGGAAAAAACTTTGTAAAATCAGGGACTATCCTACTAATCAAAACTACTAATAAATGAAAGCTATGACATCTTCCTCCTGTCTTTTCTCTCTACTCAGGTTTCATGATACTGTTCTCCGAGTTCTGCTACTGGTCTGATCATTCAGTCTTTTTTTATAGATTATTCTTCATATCCTTCCTGGTAGTAGTAGTAGCAGTAGTAGTAGTAGTAGTAGTA